GAACTACCGTCCCTGGAGAGCCCTTGGGAGAGCCGTTGTCCCTGTGAGAGCTCCTGGCGGCACCACTGCCCCTGGCATAACCCTTGGGAGCGCTACAATCCCTGGAAGGCCCCTGGGGGTGCCGCTGTTGCTGGGAGAACCCTTGGGGTTGCCGACATCCCTGGGAGAGGCCCTGCGGGCGCAAGAGTCCCTGACAAGGCCATTGGAGACAACCCCACTAGGGGTGTTCTCATCCCTGGGAGATCGCCTGGAAGTGCCACTGGCCCTGGCAAGGCCCCAGGGGGCACCGCTGTTTTTGGAAGGGCCCCTGAGGGCGTTGCCGTCCTCCCAGTGACGGCGGCACCCCAGTGGCCCTGCCAGGCGTGGTGGTGCCTCCAGGGGTTCTGGCGCCCCCAGACGTCCTCCCAGGTATGGCGGCGCCCTTAGGGGCTCTTCCAGGGACGGCGGCACCCCCAGGGGCCCTCCCAGTGATGGTGGTGGCCCCAGGCGCCCTCTCAGGGGGCAGTGGCTACTGCTATGAATACCAATCCCTTAACTTCTCTTCAAACTTGGTCTCATACGCCTCAAAACAGAATTAATATATTGTACAATCACAAACTTTACAACAGGTATGAATATCTTTTCATATAAATGGAGATAATTTATTTTATTCTTAGAAAAAATTATGGTTTTTGTTATAAAATATAACAATCACAGCTTTCATAACCTATCACAGACAATAAAATACAAATTATCATACAAACTTTGGTTTCTTGAAACTTTATATCAAAGAAGAAATTATGATTCATAAAAAATAGAGTTTATTCATGGCATCAGGAATACTCTTTATGATGCCTATCACATACAATACAGCACCATATATTCATAAACACTACAGTACCATATCCATGTATTACAAATACACTGACAATATAACAAACTTGTGCAAATTATTTCCTGATATTACATGATGTTTCTGAATGACCCTGTAATATCAACATAACCATTAAAAAATACAAAGGTTTCAGATCTTGCCTTCTGTACAGTACATCATTTTATGTATGATCCACTCAAGCTAAAACTTACAGAAATTTTTTCTCTAAATTTACCATTTTTTTTAATATTATTGTCATAAAGCTTTAATTTATATACTGTAATATAAAGTAACCCACATGTATTTGTATACACTCGAAAGGTTACTAAGCCCTAAATGGTCTGGTAACACTGCTCAACTGCGTCTTCCAGACGTACGATAAAGCTCGACTCTACCCCCCCATGCCTTCCTCTTTTCGTCACCCCGATGTGTTTTGGCCGTAATGACCATCCAGCAGTTGAAGGCCAGCAAATCAAAATGACGACAATGAGGAGAATTAGGCTTAACGATCTGACTTTTATGCAACTGATCGATGGTCATTTAATTACAACAAATCAGTCAATTCTCCCCTCATTTAACGACTAGGACGCATTCCTATAAAACCAATTATTAAGCGAAATGGTTGCTAAACGAGAAATAGTATACTGAATGAGGGATAACAGAAATATATCCATGGAGAAGACGTGTAATTGTAAAGCCAAGTTGCCACCCAATAGCACTCAGAGCAGGTGAGGCCAAGCTGTGAGCTATGTTATTGTTCAATGGGTAATTTCGGGTAGATATGCCTAATTTTCCTCATTTTTTTTTTATGCTCTTACATGCACACAATTGCTCATAGAGAATGAAAAAATAAAAACAAATATCATAAGGTCAAAAACAAAGGTAATAAACATTTCTTAAGAGCTCGACAGTTAGCGTAAGCAGCAGGGGTGGGGGGCTAGCAGTGTGGGGGATCTCTAAACTGCTCTCTGTCATGTCCCATGAAATGATTGCTAAATGGCAATGCAGCATTTTTTTTTACTTTATTTAATTTTTTTTTTATTTATTCCTCACATTCACTGTGGTGGCTGCTGCTTGTGATGTAACATAAGAAGAAGTGCAGCTGGCTACAGTTACAGCTCACTGCCTCAATACATAGAATATGTTCATTTCCTACGCACACACACCCATGCTCTTCTGAGAAAATTTTCCCAGTACCCGGAAAATTCTGGGGATGGGGGATTTTTTTCCGGGTTTAAGAGATGGTGTAATGTGTAATTTCTGGAACTTCCGAGAACATTTTTCTGTTTCCCTGAAAATTATGGGGATGAGGGATTTTTTCTGGTTTTGAGCGAGTGGTCTTGTTACCCAGAAATCTCTCATTCCCGGAAGCACATCCCCTTGTGAGATGCCATCTGTGATTCAGTACAGGGTATAGCACTTTATGGAAGGGTTATTTTCGGTTTACAGAAAATTTGGTTTACGGATAGAGTCCAGGAATGAAACCTTTCCGTAAACCAGGGAGTGTCTGTATATACACTAACTATTGTGCATTGTGGCTTTTGTAACAACATATCTACTTGACAGTATTCATTGTACTAAGATATCCAATGTATTACAAAATATTAGGTGTCACTTTCCAGTCAGTGTCAGTATCTCACAACCCTATAAATACAACAATCTGTGAAAATTCCATTACAGGTATTAGAAGCACAACCCTAAGAGATGCTGTTGATTTGTAATAAGGAATGATTGTATAAACTGGACATGTGGCATTTATGAAACTTGTGCTGTTAATGACTATGTGCCATTCAAAGGATGAATGTGCATTTCATATTTCTAAATGATAACATTATTAACAGATGTTCTACTGCATTATCCTTTGTAGACACTTCAACCTTGCTGTAAAAGCATTACAAATCAACTAGGAACTTCAACCATCTTTAACTTCTGATTTTACAGTTAAACATCACTATGGAATGATTAACTTATCAATTTACCAAAATGTGACTAATATAATAACCTTCCTTCACACTGAAAGGCTAGTCAACAGCTGAAAAAAATATGAAAATACAATACTCTACATTTCCATCACAGTCGGGGACAAAAGTTCGCTCCTCGTGGTGAAACTTGAGTCATGGGAATGGGTTTCCAAACTAACATACCCTGACTGTTTCAACTCCTTTTGGGTTAATGCCGCTTCATTTTGGGCAGGTACAAACTTTTGACCCTGACTACCATAGAATATAAGTATACATACAGTCAGTTCTGCTATAACGCGATAGTTGTGTTCTTGTAAAACATCGTGTTATAGAAATTCGCGTAATAGAAATAACAGGGCTTATGGAGAAAATAGGGTTAGGTGCAGATTACTACTCGAAATCGAAAAAAATTTAGTAGTTAGCCTAACACAAAGGTTAGCACAGTCTAAATAAATGTTACATTCATATCTAATAATAAAATCATACAGTAAATGTAACACTTTACCTTGAAAAAATATGAATATAACTTGATGGGGGAGAATGGTGATTTTGAGGTTAACATCGAGCTTCTCTTCAAGGGTTATATCCTTTCTTTTATGATCATCACCGGGAATGCGATCACCAGAACGCTTCTTGGAGATATTCTTCTTTACCATATTCACAGTTAATACCACAAAATTGGAGAAATAGTAAGCAAAAATCGCGTTACAGCAAACAAGCGTTCGCGTTATACAAATATCGTTCCTCTATTCACAAATCGTGTTAGAGCCAATTCGCATTGTCAAAACACACGTTATAGCAGAACTCACTGTACATATATACAAATAAATCCATTAAAATACTTGCAGATATGCAATCGTTTGATTTACTGCAAGCTAATTTTAGCCTCTGTCATCATTACAGTATGGCACTTAATTTCATAAATAGTAGACATTAATTAAATAGTCTTGGATAATGAGTAGGTATTACAATATTTTTTGGAAGTAACTTTTGCATCAATATCAGGAATTCATGCAGCTTCACAAAAAAGTGTCTAGTAATGCTTTAAAATGTCCCTTTTTTATAATTTCAATCTTATTCTGATCTTATGGACCATGCAAATATTTAAGACTGTAACCACAAATATCAGACACAGGAAACTTATACCTGGAATGTACCATAGCAGGTTAAAATAGCATTACTTACTATGACACTAAACACAGTTTTATATATAGTATTTTCTTAAAAATCCTTTTATGGTAATAGACACTCAATAGATTTTCTTTGAAGATAAACCTTGCTAATCCAGACTAATCGAGGGAAAAGATGCATCTTGAAGAGCTGTTTATCTGGATCATCCAAGTGTCTAGATGTCTCTGTTAATCTGGAGAGAGTCCACAGGATTGTGTCAAAATCTAACATCTACAGTATACAGTACTTAGCAGATTTAAGTACTTCTTAATATACTCATGCATCTTCTGTTAGATCTCCATAATATACAGTACAGTATAATACAGTACAACAATACACATACTACAGCATGAGTTCAGTCCAAAAATCAACATACTGTACAGTATAGTGTCCATACTAAGTGGCATATGAAGGCTCACATTTGCATTCATCCAGATGAAGTCTAGAGAGGACTTTAGCCAGGACTGACATTTGGCATTAGGATTAAGTAATATCGGAATAAGTGAGGGTCTGGATTAGAGAGGTTTGTCTGTACAGTACTGTATTTATGTTTGAAATCATGATAATTATGAATCTATCTATACCTTTCTACATTATACTAATCATACCCTCAAAGAGGATAAGTAACATTATACTGAAAATATAAATTGTATTTGTAATTTGTGGTCAGTTCTCACTTAATACATAGTGTAAAGAACACTGCAAAATACTAAAAATGTGCCGACCTAGATAGTGAGTCCAACTCTTATTAACACTAAACATAAACATCTATATTTGTATTTGTACAATTAATAATAAATTCATATGAATACATATAAGCACATTATTCCATATAAAATTACTCATGGTAAACATAAATACAGTAATATCTCTGTTAGCTGGAATCCCTCAAATCCGGAACTCTACGATAGCTGGAATTGAAATTTTATCAGAAAATCGTTCCCAAAGCCAGAATTTTCCAGAAAAATCGGCTTTGGGAACGATTTTCCGAGAAAATTTTCCTGATACCCGGAAAATTCCGGGGACGGGGGAGTTTTTTCCGGGTTTGAGAGAGTCGTCTCATTACCCGGAAATCTCTCATTCGCGGAAGTGCTCCGCACCAATTGTTCCGGCTAACGGGGATATCACTGTATTATGAACAATAAAAATACAATGTGTTCAACAAATTCCTTTTGTATGACTGTACTGTACTGAACACCAACCAATACTATGTGGAAAACAATCTCACAGCCTGAATACAATGTATCAAAACTTTTTATGGATTATTAAGTGTGTACAGTACTGTACAAACACAGGTCATCACTTCACAGATACAATACCTCAATCAGGTCTCTCTTCTAATCTAAAATTACAAAAAGTACAAAAGTGAATATTTACACAGTAAAAGCCAAATTTTCAAACAACACAATGTACTCGAGTGTCAACTAACAGGAAGGTTTCAATATTTCCTGTAAGAGAAAGACATGACCCAAAATATATAAATATATATATTTAAAAAAGGAAAATTTAAGGCATAATTGAACTGTACTCATTACAACATTTTGTAAATCTGCCTTGTCTGACCAAGGTTGTCTGGATCTTATAATTATGCATATGACTCCTCCCCAACACCGTCTTCACTATCAGAGGATGAAGAGGTGACCCGAATCCGTAGACCTTGTGGGACTGCCGAATACTCTGTAAAAAATTTAATTAAGTTAATAATATGAGAACAGCTCTGGGACAAACATTTCTGTAAATAATTTATGAGAAAAAATAAGGGGTGATATTCACAGATATCAAACACCACCTGCAAAATGTTCTTTGAAATATGTAAGCAAGACTAGAAAATGGCACGAGTAGATAGAATTTGAATATAAAACAGACAGTGTGAATTTTTTTATTAATAAATGTTAGGAAGACAGAGTAAAAATATGTAAAGCTGTTAAAGTTTCTGGGTTAGAGCAAATATCTTGAGGAAAACAGTCTTAATTTAAATTTTGTTTGTGTATCTGTGGTACATTAATGCAGTGGCCAAAACCAAAAAAATGTTGGGTATCCCCAAGAAATGTAATGCCCCTTTTATATTTTTTCTGAAAGAATAATGAATAGAAGTTGTAAAATGATGGTTCCAGTGCTCATTGTACTACAGTACAGGCAATGACTGTTCTACAATGCGGTTAGGGACCTCAAAAATGCCATCAGTAAGTGATTAATCATATATTGATATTAATAACTTATGGGGAAAATAGCTTCTGTTCCTGTGCCCCTGATGAACCCGAACAAGTTTTATATCCTGCTTCAACAGGTTGGACCCTGCTAATCCAGGACCTGATAGTTTGGCAGCTTCGATGGTTTGGGACGCATATAGTGAATACTTAATCTTATGGGGAGTATTAGGATATGTTCCATTACTACTAAAAGTCAACGGTAATGCTATAAAAGTTGTGGAAAAATCATTACAATTATCGCCACCTTGCATGAATTCCATTATTGTATTGTATATACTGTATGTGTGTGTGCGCGTGTAGACACACACAAATAAATAATACAGGTAATGGGAAAAACCTCTCAAAAATAATCAGAAACAAATTTATATTAATAATGTTGAGTCTATCTTCAAGTCCACTCCGTGCTTTGTTATTAATAAAGCACGGAGTAGACTTGAGGGTAGACTCAACATTATTAATATAAATTTGTTTCTGATTATTTTCGAGAGGTTTTTACCATTATTATTTATTTGTATGTGTTTTGTGTGGCTGGTGGTCACAGGAGTGTGGTGGTGAGTGGTGTTGTTGTTGGTGATGATTATTGTTTTGTTGGTAGTGGTGGTGGTGAGTGTTGTTGGTGAAGATTATTATTGTTGTTGGAAGTGGTGAGTGTTGTTGGTGGTGAGTATTGTTGTTGTTGGTAGTGGTGATGGTGAGTGCTGTTGGTGGTGAGTATTGTTGTTGTTGGTAGTGGTGATGGTGAGTTGTTGGTGGTGAGTATTGTTGTTGTTGGAAGTGGTGAGTGTTGTTGGTGGTGAGTATTGTTGTTGGTGGTGAGTATTGTTGTTGTTGGTAGTGGTGAGTGTTGTTGGTGGTGAGTATTGTTGTTGTTGGTAGTGGTGATGGTGAGTGTTGTTCAGAGATGTAAAGTAACAAAATAACATTTACTTTTTAAAAAGTACTCAAATTTGTCAGTACTTTTAAAAAGTATGGTTTTCTAATAATTTTACTCCAATATAACTGAAAAAAAAAATCGTCGCTCATTACATGCCCCAAAAAGTTTTAAAAATCCAAGCACAGGACATGACAAAATTGGAAGCTAACCAATCACAAGCGCTTCTTCACATCTTGATCAATCACATGCACTTTTTCATATCATTTCATTTATGTACCCAAGCACTAAATACCAATAAATTACAATTCACATAATTAGTGAAGTTATAAACGGCAGAAATTTAGACTATCGGCAACGGAAAAGTCACTAAAATGGCAACTATGAGACTGGTTTGTTCTATAATGAAATTAAAGTTTTAATATTAGTCTAATAATGTTAGCTAAGTTGACAAATTGTCATCAGATAAAGGTAAAACAAAACCTGTGCAGAAAAGAATACTTACCATAACCTTCTTGTGATAATTTTGTTTACTACAGTGCACAAGGCAATGTTCATTTGTTACCCAGACTTAGTTGTTTGATCTCGAGTGGCGCCAAAATGGCCACGGATATAGCTGTTCTCTACCATAGGGTATATATACTATTGTTGGTGGCTGATTTTCCCATGAAGTAATAAAGGGAAACATTACAATAATAATGTTCTGAATACTTGATAAAAGTCGGAAGCTAAGTAGCAGTGGGAGTCGGAACTCAAGAACGTTCATAATCTTTCATAATACAATAATATTAAACCAAATGTTTATTTATATTATTATACACATGGTAATTTACTTAGAAGAGCTCAACATCTTTCTTACTTGAATCTAGAGGGGAGAGCTATGAAGACCAATGGAAAATGGGTATTATTGCAGTTTCACTCCCAATTGGGTTAGAGCAGGGTTTTTTGGGGTGATAACTCAAAAAGACTCATTCCTGATGGAAATTATGGTCAAATCTGAATGAAACACATCAAATACCATGGAAAAAACATTGGTAGTGAAACTGCAATTTTTCCAGTTAGGTTAGGTTTGGTTGGGTTAGGTTAGATTCCTATTAACTTCCATTTTTGCTCTCCTACCCAAAACCCCTGAATTCCAACACGTCCCCCAAGATTGTTGCAGGGGAAGGGAGGGGGTTGATAACTCAAAAACAACTCGATGGAAATGAAGGTCAAATTTGAATGAACCACACCAAATACCATGGGAAAGACTTAGATTTCTTGTTCAAAAACCAATTTTACTGGAAAATGTGGGGTTAAGCATGCACAACGATTGAGTTTCAAAATTCTGAGCCAAAAATTGGATTGCGCAACCTCCCAAACTGCATTTTCAAAAACTGAAATGAAGAAGTAGAATAGGCAACCCCCAAAAGTCTAACCTAGGAATGTTATTCAAAATTACCTTTTCTTAGGTCCTCGTTCTTTTTAGAGCTTGCTTGTACCATATTTTGTCTCAGTTTTTTTAAAATCAACCTTCTGTTTTAACCCCTCATTTTCCCTGGTTTTCAAACCCTCTGCACTTCCATATCAAGAAAGAATTGCAAATAAACATGAGTAATGCTATGTGTGCAACAGACACACTTCATGCATAATGTGCAAAAAAATAAACAATTTCATAATTAAAACAAATAGAAATACTTACTATGATTAAAACATATATAGATACTTACTACTGTACTGTGATAATTAAAGTAATTATAACTACTAATATTTTATACTAACAAATTTAAATAATGTCCAGCTTAAAAATATACTGTACAGTACTGTTAATCCAATGTTATTCATACTTCATCTAGGAGAAAGAGAAAACCTTCACCTTCTGACCCTGGATGGTCCCTATCACTTGCACTGTTGGATAGTCTCCCTGTACTGTCACCACCACAGACGCCCATTCCAGGCCCGACACCCGCAGCTGACATTGTGCTTATTGCTGGGCCTACACATGCTACAGTGCTCATTGTGGAGTTTGTACAAGCTGGTGTGCTCACTTCAGGTCCCACTTCAGCATCTGTGTGTTCTGCAGATTCATTACCTGAGAGTAGAGTGTGGTGTCACCCCAAACCAACAAATTACTCTATATAAATACATGTACTGTGAATCTCATAAACTGGACCTTTACTCACATACTGTGCATAAGATACTGAAATGCTCTTATTTACATTTAACAAATTACTTTATATGAACAGCTATGACACATTTCAGATAACCCTTTTCACCCTCTCACACAGAAAATTAAAATTAAATTATTTTCTCGAGCAATGAGCCGCATATTAAAAAAATATAAGTACAGTACTTTACTACAGTAATAAATGTCCACCCAGCAAAGCTCCAACTTATGATTCACATACATATGGATGACAGTGTGTTATGAGAGCCAACTCTCCAAAACAAAAAATACATCTGTTAAAACAATTAGTATGTTAGTAGTGACAATCAAATTGTTTACATTTGCTCTGTCAAGCCTTTTCCCATTAATACATTTATGATCATTCCTTCATACATTCTTACTACTGTAACAGATGTGCTTTACTATATGATATTCCCCTTCCACAACAAGGCCCAAATATTAATCTACTGTCCTTGGAATAAATCAATACAATAATTAGTGTATTTCACAGTTGCATGCACTTCACTATGACATTTAAATCAATACAGTATAAAGTACAGTACTGTTCAGTCCCCCAAAAAAGTATTATTACCCATGGGGTTGACGTGGTTTGTAGTTTTGAGCATTGTTAGTCCACCAGTTTAAGAACAGTTGGTACAGGTATTGGTATCAACCATTATCTACTATGTGGATCAAATTACTGTATATGGTAACACCTTCATGCAGAGAACTGCCAGAATTTCAGAATAACCAATAATTTACATTTTATTCCTGCATATACTATATATAGTACGGTACAGTAAACCCTCGAAGATCCAAACCCGGGAAATCCAGATTTTGGAAGATCTGGACAAAAAATTTGGGGGTTCTGGGCTAAGAAAACTCCTAGAAGTTTCCCAAAGAAGCATTCCCAAACCAGAGCAAAGAACATTTTAGGCACGTGGGCGCTGCTTGACCCGTCAGTTGCTTGGACACAGGTGCCCGAGGGGGTGGGAAACAAACAGAGTTGACAATTGTTGTTTGTGGGAATATTGTTTCATTCACTCTAGTAATGATACAATGTTTCTTATTGTGTTATAGGTAAATGCATGGTTTATATACAGTAATTTGTTTATCACTACATTAGTACTGTATTTTTGGTGTTTCTTATATCATTTATGATTCACTGGAAATTTCGGACAATCGGCTTTTCCAGACAGGTGGTTCCCCCTTTTAGTCCGGATCTTCAAGGGTTCACTGTTGTACTGTACAGTTCATTAAAAATATTTTTTTTATTTGTAAAATATTTTAACCTATTTATTCTTAAAATATATAGCTACTGTTTTGTCTTTAATGGGGATACTGTACAGTGGTCTAATCAGATTTGATAAGAGGCCTAACGAGAGCTGATATGTCATAAGTAAACGTGATGGAAGGGGGGGGGACTGGCCGTTGCCACATTCGTCAGTCTGTTTTTATTTATTCATTAATAAATTCTCGTATAATCAGCATCTTATGGTGTATATTTCATCATTAATAATACAAAATATTAAATAATAGAAAAAATAAGATATATAAATTGTAATTTAACTTCAAAGTAATGGCGTGTGTGTCTCATATGGATGATGCAATATGCACTCATCTTCTGGTCTCTTCCCGGGAGGATTACCATCACCATTGTTTGAATTATTTTACCTAAGATCTTATCATTTTTCGGTGGCTGAATATGTGTTAAGCTTAAAGCTACCCATTCACAGTGCAGAATTATGAGCGAGTCCACTCTAAGAGTAGGGAATAAACTGATCACTCACGAAACCAAGAGAAGAAAAGAGCCAAGGGATTGCTTGCTGGCTGCAATTTCAAATGACAAATATTTAAGGGTTCAGACAAATGTTTCTTGCTTGGAAAAGGTCCCGACTATCAAAAATCCGGACTTACAGGGTCCAGACTTCCGAGGGTTTACTGGACTCAAATTATAAATAATTTATTTCATGGGGTAAAAATAAACACAAATTTTAATCATGTTCATAAAACCTGATGTATTGGAAGCTTTATAAAGACAAGAAGGCAAACTAACCTTTGCTACGATCACCAATGTTAACCGGTAGCAGAGTGACAAGAGCCAACACAGCCAGCACAACTGCTCCTCCACAGCAGTAAGACAACACATTACGGTAGTATCCTTCACACAAAGGGCAACAAGTGCTAAAAATAATTAGAGAAAACTTGCATTGCAAAATTGATCATAAACATTACATAGAAATTAAAACTTTAATTTTATACATGAATTTTAAGGGAAATTATATATAATATAATTCCAATACTGTATACAGTACTATACTTGAAAATTTCAAATTTAAAATGTGTGAATTTTAAAACTTTTTTTTACAATGTTACTGACGAGTTTCCAACACCTGAACATGCAAAAATAAAAACTACTCAGTAGCCAGTACCTCTGGTGAAAATTATGTACATATTCTTACCTTTTTTTCGGGGTGGGGGGCAATGTGAGAAAAATTGCCTGAGGTATCATATATCATTATAACTAAAAAAAACATTATATTTCTTCATCCACCACTTTTGACAATGATAGTGTAAGGTGACTTGTACACTGAGTTCTTGGGTTATTAAAATAGCCAAAAACGTTGAATTCTTAAAAATATTTTCTCAAACTTGGTACAGTTGCGGAAATGAGTTCCTATCCACATGTGGTAACCCTTGTCTCCAAATTGCCAACCTATATGACCTATAACAAATCTATCCACCATTTACATCCGTCGTTACATGACATATACCCTTTCATTCATAAACAGTGATACTACGACTGCAACATTGTTGTTTGGAGACACGGGTTACCAAATGGAGCGTAGGAAGACATTTCCGCAAATGTACTATTAGAATCCTTATTGACTGAACTTATTAACAGATGTGACATCCCTCATTTTGTTGTGCTGCCTTCAGAGGACACCGTACCATCCTCTCACATTATTACTACAGAATTATCAACTCTATTTTTCTCCTTTTTTTTTCTCTGAAACAGCCAGTTGTCATTTGAAAATAAACCATTTTGCCACCGTTAAGTTTGTTTTCTATAGAAATAGTACAAATGAATACCTTTTCAAAAGAAATAAGAGAGGTGACTTAGTACTTTTATCTAACATCAGTAATAACACTAAAGATGATACAGTACTGTACTGAGAATAATTTAATTTATGGGGTCTTAAAGACATCTATGATTTAAATATATCATCGTGATGAAGCCAAATATATTCTAATATGCTGAGAATGTAAAGTAACACCTGCATTTTGCTTCCAATGATTTGTGGATTGGCAATCTCCAGTTAAGAAAGGTTAACTTAGACGGGCTATGGCCATGGGTATCTGTTGGGGGTTAAAAACAGTATCTGGATGGGTCAGGGGATTAATGAGGTCATTTTTCTGAGGCTATCAGAGAGTTCTGGCTTACAAGGATAATATAAATAAATAAATAAATAAATATATATATATATATATATACTGTTTACATACATACATACGTACGTATGTGTGTATGTAAACATTATGTGTGTATATATATATATATATATATATATATATATATATACACTGTTTACATACATACATACACATGTAAACCACGCACGCACGCGCACACACACAGTGAACCCTCACTTTACGCGGTTAATTCAACCCACAGGGTACCGCGGAAAGTGAGAAACGCGTAAAGTGAACAACATAACATATGGGATTAATTGAAATAGAGACCAGGCCGACCCCCAAACTCCACTTTTTCAGACACAATACCTACGTTGTAGTAAAAATAACTTCTTAATTTTATGATGGTATGCACACACAATTAATAATTAAGAGAAATATCAATATTATTAGGTTTTTTAACACTTACATTAGTAGAAAAGATGGCAGAGGGCAGATTATTGGCCCTCACCTGTATCACTTGTATCAATTGTATCACTATCCACCACAGAGGCTTGCAGGGCCTCTTTGTCAAACCCCTCAAAGTCCATACAAGTCCATATCCTCACTATAATTATCACTATCACTGACTTGGGCAGGCTGTGGTGGGTGGCGGGTGAAGAACTCGGTAATGTTTTGATGACTGGGCGACCTTGTGCGCACCCTGCTCGCGCCGCTTACACAACATGGCGGATGGCGGGAGAGGGTGGGAGAGATGACGGGAGGTTTGGATCCAAAAATGGCGCAGCTCGCCAGCCGCTCTCCACGTATAGGGGTACACGCACCGCGGAATGTGAGCATTCCGGTTTCGGCAGGGTACCACGTAAATGTGGAAACGCGGAATGTGGGACCGCTTAAAGCGAGGGTTGACTGTATATATACACTCGGTTAGGTTAGGTTAGGTGCCTTGGATTCTTGGAATCTTTCAATCCACAAGAATACCATAAATTACTAGCTAAATAAAATATACAGAACTGTACTGTATAGTCGAGGACAAAAGTTCACTCCCTCCCAAAATGAAGCAGTATTGACCCCAAATGAGATAAAACAATACACCTGCAACAGATGACAATAAGGTTAAGAAAGTTCATAGACTCATTCACGAGGCTCAGGTTTACCACAGGGAGCAAAATTCTGTCAGCAACTGTACAATACAATGAAATACAATTATTTTAAAGTGTACAAAAATTAGAAATGGAACAACTAAAAAAAATTAAGCACTAGTGTAAAATGTAAGCTATTAAATGTGCAGATTATAAGATACTGATATAAGGCATTTGAAGATGGGAAGCGGTGTAAAAACACAGCAGCAAGAAACTTTAAAGTTAGGTAAACTGTGCTTCAAAATAACAAACTTAAAATATATGAGAAATGTATATGATGCAAAACAAAAGTGAAACTAAGATGAACTGAATAAGTATGAAATAAAAGGGTGTACTAGAAGAATAAGATAACGTATAGTATGTGAAAGGATTCACATGTCTGTGCCATGATATTGTAGGCTTTTACTTGTCTGCAAAGCAAATGCAAAAAAAAAAAAACTATAACCCAAACCAAAAAAATCCCAAACATGCACAAAAGCTTTAATTTACGCACCGAAAAGGCGTTCTTCTGAAACAAATGCCATAACTTGTTAGTCTTTCTGAAAACTACTAATACAGAATTACTGTTTATTGAATTTTAAAACATAATAAAATCCATGGTTTTATTCTTATACAGTACAGTATTATACAAATTAAAGAAAATCTTTTAATATAAAACAATCTCTGGTTACAGTGTGAGTGTGGTGTGGTGTGGTGTGAGTGTGGTGCGAGTGTGGTGTGCTGTGGTTGTGATAAAACTAATTCCAACATGTTAAAATGCAGTTCGACAATGCCAAGTAAATACTAGCCAAAACTTTACTATCCTCCAGTTAATGAATTATATACTAAACAGAATTCCATACTTTTGAACTACACCAATTCCCCCATTAGCATGGTTTCTGTCAATGTTATTTCGTTATAATGTCATTGAAAAAAATAAAAATATGCATGAAAATTTTAAATGTACAACAATTTAAAAAATTCGGTATGAAGAAGCTGTGATAACAGCCGGCTGTGTAAGTGACCGGTGCCACGGCGTGGGCGTCATACAGTATTTGTTCAGTGGTTGGTTGAAGCTCTTCCAACTTTTACTTAAAAAACAATGGTATACTGTATATTTATTTGAGCCCAAGAACAACGAGTGCTAAACATGCATTATGCACCACTACAGCTTGTGGTCACAAAAAGAAGAGGAAAAGCGTTACATTAAATGTTAAATTAGATGTGGTAAAGAGATTTGAAGAAGGATAGTGTGCTAAAATTGTTACTCCATTATCTGCTGCAAAGTTAACTCAGAGAAGTGGCAAATGTTATTCGCGGATTTAGCGATTTGCGGCCATTTTGAGAACCTAACCCCCGCGAATTTGGGGGGTCCCCTGTAATGTGATAAACATCACTGCTCTTCATATTTTTAAAATTCATGTTCTTTCTCACATTTACCATTCTATCGTGTTCTTTTTTCGACACAGGCTATTTTCATATTAGCGAATTTCTTTTCTATTTCCCTCTCTCTCTATAGTATTTCCTTTATTCCCTTCCTCGTTATAAATGGATAATCAAAAAGTCTATGAAAAATTTACTCATTCCATATAAGGAGGGAGTACAATCAATTAATCGAGCTACAGATTCTTTTCATGCTTCCTTATCATGATGTGTCATGTATTACACACATGGTATTTAAGCTAAAACGAGGGGTCAAAATAGTTGCAAAAGGAACAACCATAATATACATTCCATATGGACACGTGTAAGGTGGGTTACTGCAGTGTTTTGTGTCATGGCCCTCTGACATGAAATACATATTTAACAAGGGTTGTTTATTAATGGCACTCTGAAACAGCTATCCTCCTCCTGGCCTTGTTATACCCCACTAATTTACTCCTCCCAAGAAGTAAATCATAAAAACGTTTTCCACTGTCCACAATACATGAATTAATATTTCTCAACTTACTGAAGTGGACTCAAATACAGTCAACCCTCGCTTTACGCGGTCCCACTTTACGCGTTTCCATTTTTACGCGGTACCCTGCCGAAACCGGAATGCTCACTTTCCGCGGTGTGTGTACCCTTTTACGCGGAGAGCAGCGGGAGCAGGGTGCGCACAAGGTCGCCCAGTCATCAAAACATTACCGAGTTCTTCACCCGCCACCCACCACAGCCGGCCCAAGTCAGTGATAGAGATAATGATAGCGAGGATATGGAATTATATGGACTTTGAGATGCTTGACAAAGAGGCCCTACAAGCCTCTGTGGTGGATAGTGATACAATTGATACAGGTGAGGGCCAATAATCTGCCCTCTGCCTCGGAACCAACCCCCCATCCCCGTGTGCCCAGCCATCTTTTCTACTAATGTAAGTGTTAAAAAACCTAATATTATTGATATTTCTCTTAATTATTGTGTGTGCATACCATCATAAAATTAAGAAGTTATTTTTACTACAACGTAGGTATGGTGTCTGAAAAAGTGGAGTTTGGGGGTCGGCCCGGTCTCTATTTCAATTAATCCCATATGTTATGTTGTTCACTTTACGCGTTTCTCACTTTACGCGGGCAGCAGTGGGTTCAACTGACCGCGTAAAGTGAGGGTTCACTGTATATAAATACCTGTAAAGATAAACTAATTTCTTAATGCAATCTTTCTCACTATCAGAGGCAGATAGGCATTCCTGGAGAAATGTATTTAAGAATTATTATGCTAAATGATTCGGTTTTCTTATCAATAACTTATCACATAATAAATCAAAGTTTACTAATTCAGTCGCATCAAAAACTGAACACTGGCTAGGAATCATCAAACATGCATGAGTAAAATTAATTTACTTGGTACTGTGCGTCTGGAGAGTTACCACGAGTCTGGACTTATACAGTCTCTCCTCGACTTACGATGGGGCTCTGGATCGACGACCAGGTCGTAAGTCGAATTGGTTGTAAGTCGAAAAGGCAAAAATAATACATAGACAATCTAAAATGGGGTCTCTTTTTCTTCTCAGCACCACGAGAACTTTCACTTTTAAGCTTGCCAGCCATTTTAAAGGGAATTACAAACAAAAATTTTGTCAGTACACAGTGCGATCACTAACGTCGGGACTCGAAAATACATAATTTGAAAAATATTTTATACGGCTGCGGCGGTCATATGTCCGGGTGGTCGTAAGCCGAGAAGGTCGTAAGTCGAGAATGTCGTAAGTCGAGGAGTACCTGTATATTCTCTCTAACCATGGAATTTATAATGCAAAATCAGTGAGAACATGAGTTTTGGGTATTCAAATTATTATTATATTTGTTTTTCAAATCATTAGTCCCACATGCTGCTATCCATTTCTTAGCAAAACAAATCAATAAGTTACTGTTACAAATGCATGGACAAAACATAAGAAATTTGGAGAAACTCAGAAAAAACATGGACAAGTCTGCCTTAAGTTATAGAACCAAAACAAATAAAATATATTTTAGTTTAAAGAACAGTGCAACAATGCCAAGTAGTAATTTAAACAAGTATGTTTCCCTTACTATGCACTACAATGGTCCCTCGGTTAACGAACGGTTCAATTAACGAAATTTCGGTTAACGAATTAGCTCCCATAAGGATTTTCAGTTCGAGTAATGAACAAAACTTTGATTAACGAAATCCTTACGACAAACACGTTTGTTGTGCTTATCAGCTGATCAGCTAGTCCACCAATACAGTAATTGGTTTTATGTTTACATTCATTTCCAGTGAAGTAAATATCAAGAAAGTTGGTCTCTTGAATATCTCAGCATTTTTTATATTAAAATTATTAGTCATTCTGAAATTTAGTTAACATATGATAATATAGACAGTACAGGGAACAGTTTTTGTGTGCCCATCAGCTGATTGAATCACCCAACAACCCTTCTCAGTGAACATCAATTTTGTTGGTTTCTTGAATAATTTTGCATTTTTACATTAAAATTATTGGTCATTCTAAAATTTAGTTTACCCCCGGTACATATTGATAATATACAGTGCAGAAATTATTATGAACCATGAAGAAGGCATTAGAACCAATGCACTCTGTAAAGAATATGGCTTCATCATCGACCTCTTCAATCAGCGGTTTGATATGTAAACAAAGCTGCCGGAAATATGACATACACACCTCAAAGTAATTTAAAATACAGTATTCTATTGTTTTTTATTTATTATTGTACAGTATACTGTACTGTACAGTACTGTGTTTAGTTTATATTTAATGTTTTGTTAATTCTATTACTGGTATACAGTACTTTGTATGTATACTTTTTCTGTGAGTTGGAACCAATTACCCAATATCCCATTGAAATAATAAGATTCGGTTAAAGAAATTTTCAGTTGACAAACGACTCTGTGGAACGAATCGTGTTCGTTAACCGAGGGACCACTGTATTACAACAATGCCAATTAGTAATTTAAACAAGTATGTTTCCCTTACTATGCACTATTACAAAAATGCCAATTAGTAATTTAAACACGTATATTTCCCTTACTAGAGTCTAAAACTAATCGATAGGCTTTGTTGAAAAAATTCAATTTCCATGCATATAACTTCATCCTTCATAACATTACTTTTTAATTACCAAACTTGATAATACTCACTTGCAGGGATTTAGATTTTGTATGAGCATGACAGCCACACCATTGGATAGTTTATCTGTGAAGCTCATAGCACCATATACAAAAGCCCCTGATTCTACATTGGGCCCAATTAGATCAGCAGTGAAGGAGAGTGATGTCACAAGCAGGATAGAGCCTCCAGCTCCCAGAAGTGATGCTACTCCATACAAGAGGTAATCTTTATAGAGATCACCTGAACCAAACCACACAGCTATGCAGGCAGCTTCCCCTATAATGCACCCAATAAGGAAGGATGCCTGCCAAAGAGAATATATTTCCTTACAGAAAAACAATTCAAAATATAAGGACATACAAATGAGATATTTCAATACAGTATACCTGTATCTCACTAAGTGTAATTCCACTTTCATCTAATTAGTTGAATGGACAGCTTCAATCATCCTTAAAGTCCTAACCTGGAGGATGTAGCACAATTACCCTCACTCCAACTGAGGAGTGTTTAAATTGGCAATACTTACTGGCAATAATTGTTTTTGCCGACAAAGAGAATATGGAAATTTTTTGGGCATCTTGGCATGACTTAGGTTAAATTAATTGACTATATATTGGTTAAGGCCATTTATGAACACTCAATAGGGAAGAAAACAGTACCAGTATACAGAATTATATATTTCTCACCTTCCTGCCAATGTATTTGTTGAGACTCTTCATGCACATGGTTGTGAGGAAGCCAGCAACATACATAACCAGTGGAATGTATGCAACAGATTCTTGTGGCAAATGAAGAGAATCTTGGATATATATGGGGACATAGGCTTGTGAAAGGTTGCAGAAGAGTCGAGTTGCCATGTAGAGCAAGGCTACCTGGTAAAACTGAAGAGAATTTTTTATGAAAGATCAATGTCCATATATTCCCTTCTTATTTTCCAAACACAGCAGTCACTCACACCATCTACTTTGGAACTATTGAACTAGTTTGGGATGCTTGACTTTCTGCATGCACGACTGAGAGCATAGCATTTGGTGGTTTTAGGATGCACATGTTGCTGATAGGCAATGCCAGGTTATATGAAGTTACAGGTGAACAAGGTAGGTATTTGGGGACTTATTATGGAAGGGAATACATAGCGGAACAAGTCTGTTAGGAGTAACAATTAATAAATGACAGTGCAAGTACAGTGGGGTATGCTATAACGAATCTAATTGGTTCTAGAACCTTGTTCGTTATAGCATTCGTTCGTTATAGGATTAATCCGTTCCAGGCCCCCAAATACAACCACCTAACACTGAAAAATATAATATAAAATTGTAAAAATTGTAAAAAAGTGCATAAATATGCATCTAAACCCCTGAAATAAAGAATATCATTAATATTTATAATAAAAAAACAATAAATTAGTAAAAAAAAAAATTATTTTAAATAATGTTCGTTGTAGGAGTTTCGTTCGTTATAGCATTCTCAATTTTATAGGTAAAACCGTTCGTTATAGGAATATTCGTAGTAGGATCCGTTCGTTATAGCATACCCCACTGTATATCAAGGAATAGTATTTCTTTACTCGGGATTCTGACCATCCTGCAATAAACTGTAGCAAGAAAAGGAAAGCCTGGGGGAAAAATTATCAAGCATAATTTTGTTCCAGTAAAAATTACGCAAAGTTCTGTGTAGCATAACTTCTGTAAGCCATAAAAATCATAACCAAAGACTTAAAGGCTATAATAGCCATCTCAATGCAACATACACAGAATAGTCAAGCAATGTTGTCTGCCAATAAACTTAATTCCCCATATTTTATAAGATAAGTAATCTAAGTATTGGGAACATGGACAACACTTGCCAAACAGCTAAAGATTATCGGAAATACCAGGTTATACAAGTGAAAAGTCTATATCCAATTCAATAATCATTGAAATAAACACTAAGAAAACCTTGATTAATGTCAAAATCATTAATTTTGAAACCTGAAAAGAAAAAACAAGCAAATGACCCCCAGCACACACATTCTAAATCTATGGGAGAGGAACATATGATAGTTATAGACAAACCAACCAAAAGAGTATAATTCAGAGGCAGATTGTAGGAGACAAAGAAAGCCCATGGTAGAAGTGCAAGGATGAGAAGAAGGATTTAATAGAGGTGAGGAAATATGGATATTCAAGAAGCCGAAGTTTACATGAATGATTGGTAAATATGGCATCCTCTGGTTCATAAGGATATGATAGTAGTGTAGTAAGATTAACAGTGATACAGTATAGCAAATGAGAAGTTTGTGTTTGCTCTTTGTTCTGGCCACCCCTCCTTCTCTCTCCTCCCATCAACATCTGATTATAAACTTTTTTTATCATCTTTCCATTCTCTCAATACCGTACATTCATACCATCTACTATATCTACCTTGACCACTCTGTTTCTGACAATGTTTGCATTTCTATACTACGGTACCTCCTCTTTGTTTTGCATTCATGAAACGCATCCTATTCACCCAATTCTGTAAACTACTCTCAAACACTTTTCACCTAGTTTTCTACATTTGTTTTACTGCACATTTTAGTAAGTTTCATTCAAATTTCTTTAAGGGGAGCGTCCGGCTGAGAATACAAGGCAAATCGGAAAATTACAAAAATATTCAGAAAAATTCCTGAGGAAAGCTGTTGCCTATGGCTATATGCTGACATATTTTTATTGCATAATTCAAATATTTATGTAGCTATGCATAATTGTTCTTACCCCCCATCACTTAGAGGGCCCTTTCTGTTTACATAGGAAAAGCTGTAGAAAAGTATTTATCATAATATTTTGGTGTAAAGTAATACCAATCACTTGGTAAATATCAGTATCTGGTACATTTCTCAACGAGCTAACCACACAGGAGACCGCCTTCTCGAGTCAGTGACCCATCAAACATGCACAAGTGAGGTACGATCACGAGTTGCTCTCACGCCACCTTTATTGGCCCGTATTTCAGAAGGAGTTTTTCTAAACTTCAAATCCCTAAGGCTCACCCATTTATGGGCCAATTCTAAAAAAACAAAAACCAAGTCATAGAATAACATACTTCACATGGTGTAACATATAGATTTTCTTTATATTTGGCTTGGTTTATTATTTTCCGATTTATTTTTAGAAATAATTTGAGGTGTTAGGAAAAAAATTCATGCACCCATTACAAAAGTGATAATCAGAAATATCTGTATTCCACATGAATTTCAAATTAATTTAGCGAGAAGTTATGGAGAAGTAGGATTTTGAAAATTGATAGGAATATTAGGGAAAAATCAGACAACAGGGATAAGGCAGAACCGATTCAAGGGTATAGTAACAATGTATCTAGTGTCCTTAATTGCTGATAGGATATTTAAATTGAGTGATCAATAAGTAATGAATTTTGTGCTTCAGCCAGACACTCCCCTTAAAGTGATTATAGTTGCTGTACTTACAGACAAAAGCTACCAATGAAAAACTATGAACTGCTACAGATATACTTTACCTGAATATTTTTGAGCCAATCAATAGAAGTCATGCGAAAATGTCTTGGAGCACACACTGACACAGTTGGTAGATTATTTTGATAACTGGAGGTACTGTCACCAGTCTGGGAATCATCTGGATCATTAGCCTTGTCCCCATCAGTATCAGGTGATAATTTATTATACTGTGGAGTGTTGTCTTCTTTGACCAATGTATGGAATATAATTGTAAATACCACACCAATAGACAGCACAATTAAAACAATATACTGAAAGAAAAAACATTTCATGTATAAGGCTGATAAAATCTCAGATTACGTGTATATACAGTACCTTTTTTACAATCAACAAATTACTAAATTAAAAATTAAACTGAAATTAATTTATATCTTTTTATTCAACCACTTAAAGAAGGATACCAATTACAAGCAAACCATTATGGCATGCTGACTTACTCTAAACTTGATGGCATCATCAGGCTGAAGACCAGTCTCAGGAGTAGAGGTACTTAACCCCAGCACCATCCATGTCACGACATAAACCGTTATGTTGGACACAACAGTAAATCCATACCTGAAAACAAACATCTTTTGTTTTCATCTACAGTACAGTACATTTAAAATTAGTCTGTAGAAATATAGTATCTTTTAACTTTTCTCTCTCTAAACCATTTCACTGCCACCTTAGTATCTCCCAGCTGCATAACACAAACACGGGACTTTAACACAAATCTTCTTCCCTAAACTACTATTAACTTCCTATCCCTTAAATAGCAGCCATTATCAGTGGAGGATAGCTGTAGGGATGGTGGCCATCATCTGTGGACATTTCATGTTGCTTACATTCCATTTCTGCACATACAGGCAGTGGTTGAGTAGGGAATCTTTAGCTACCAGGTAAGGGTTATTAAACATTGGTCTTATCTATACTTGAATTCCTTTTTGACCTTTATATCAATATTAAGCATCATTAAACTGGCCCTATTTTCTAAACATGTGAATCTTGCTCAACTGTGTTATTCACTCTCATCATCATCTAACAATACCACCTGAGAAAGACATATCTTGAAATTTTCATCCTCTCTGGTATTCATTCCTCTTTCATACTACAGTATTATACTGTATTACTAATTACATGTATACAGCATCTAGAATAAGCAAAAGATAAAATACAGAAATATGATAAGCACCTGATAGCATTAAGCTCTGTACGGTCATTTGGATCTTGAGTTATAGTGGGAATAAGAGCTAGATGGCTGATTTGTGTAGATGCCCAACCAAACTGGAAGATTATGACGAATGGGGTGTAGTAGATTACCTGAGCCCAGTCATCGGCATAAAAGCACCCAAAGCATCCAAGGAAGATGAAAGGGAAGGCAATCACTACACAAAATGTACCTGTAAGGAGTCTAAAATTACAAAAGGGAAATTTATATAATGTTTATCATATACAGCATATACACTATGTACTTGTACAGTAATCCCGTGTTTTTCGCGGGAATTACGTTCCTGAAACCCCCGCGAAAAGCCAAAACCGCGAATACTCTTTTAGGAATCACTGTACCTGTGGCCACCAAACAGCTCAGGTAGGTCATGCACTTAACCACGCCATGCTCTCCACTCACGGCCCAGTGGTCACACTGATCACTGATGCAATGTAACGGCATTTACTAACATCATTATTTTGAAACTAATCATATTGTAGTATAATAATGGAAAAACGTAAACACAGTTATATACCAAATAATTTTATTTACACGTAAATAAAAAAATTTATATTTCGTTGAGGTCGGCAACACCCGCATTGCCAGCCTCTCCCTACTGTCCTGGCGTCTGCCCACCCTCATGCAGTCACGCCAGCCAGCCAGTCCTCTTCCACCCACATTCCTCCACTTGAAGACTTGTATTCTGACAAGACACAAATGAATTGTCAGTCTTCACCACATCTCGAGCCATAGCTCATTCCACCTCTGAGCTTGTCCAATAAAAGTTTTTTTCCGTTAAGGTCATCACTATTCTTGATCTCTTGGTCACTTCAGAGTCTTTGCTAGTAATATTTGCCTTGGATGAGGCTGGCTTACGTCCAAGAGCCATGTGGAATGCACGTGGGAGGACAAACAGAAGAGGTAATCACAGTAGCGTTTATAGTACGGTAGGCACGTGTGGACTGAGGCTTCTCGGAGCAGCGGGTGTCTGAGGCAGGAAAGGGTGGCGTCTGTTTGCCACACCGCACAGGGGAATATTGAAAATGGTGCAAAATTTAAATTATTGTTTTTAAAGGATATATATATATATATATATATATATATATATATATATATATATATATATATATATATATATATATATATATATATATATATATATATATATATATATATATATATATATATATATATATATATATATATATATATATATATATATATATATATATATATATATATATATATATATATATATATATATAAAAAAAAACGAATGGTCAAAACCGCGATTAAAAAAAAAACGCGAAAAACACGGGTTTACTGTACTGTATTTCAAGAGTTTGTAGGGTGGTAACTCCTGAGTGAGATAGGTTAGTTTATCTGGGACTTGACATGAAAGGATATTTGTTTCTGTGCACTTACTATACAAGAATTGCAAATTGTTTACATCAAAAACTAGACTATGTACAGCAATAACTCTGGTGAGGATCTGACCAAGATCAAGTATACTGTATTAGAAAAACTGTAAAACTCTCGAAAGTCTTTTGTGATAAAAAAATATTTTTTATATGAAATGGATATTGTGTTGAACTGTTTTAGAAGTTAAGTCAACTGTATGGACAGACTTTAAAATATTGGACTCTGAAACATCACACATTTGTCCTGTTTGGATAGATGTTTTCATGCCTTTTATTTTACAAATAAGAATGAAACTTATGGCAGATAGCAAACATATGTGCATTATTGTAACACTGATAGTATGAAAGGCTCTTATTCTGAAAGGCATATAAAGTGAAGCCTACCATAATCAACAATAAACACAAACTGCAATTAGCAAGGCAACTTTACATTTTGCAAGGCCACTTGACATTTTACAAGAATTAAAAGTTTTTATCTCTTTAATTTAATCAGCATGTTCAGATGTACGGCCTCGTTCAAGATTCTTCGAACACTGCTGGAGACAGCTGGCAACTCAAGGCCATTTGTTTACTATATTACGTAGTAAAAATTATTAATGAATGTAAAAGTGATCGGTGACTGGTTACTTAGTTCCCCGTTGCTTAATTAATGGTTGGGCTTTGTCGTTTCGTATTATATTATACTACGTACTATAGTAAACAAACGGCCTTGAGTTACCAGCTGTCTCCAGCAGTGTTCGAAGAATTTTGAACGAGACTGTACCTATGGTGTGAATTGTGAGTAAAATCTAATAAAAAGAGGAAGAATATACCCAGTATATCTAAAAGCTACACCCTGGGGACCAGAGAGCCAAGTCCCTAGTTGCTTAATCCTGACATATGCAGTACAGTATTGTAAGTATAAGGAGTAAAAAAAAAATTCAAGTCCTGTACTGTACAGTATGTGCCAGGTGCTAAGGTCAAAACTGCAGTACAACAAACTAACTGGTCTGGAAGAGGTGTACTGTTCTACATTGGGCTTCATAATAAATCAAACAGTGTGGAAGAAGTGTACTAAGCCTCACTACAGACTACAATCAATGAAATAATCGTTAACTCAAGGTGGGTGAAACAAAGAGAATGCGCGAGTGTCTTAACTTTTTACTGTGCTAAATAATTTTATATATCTATATCAATTCATTAAGAGAAATTAATACAACTGGTAAAGCTTCTTCACTCGGCAAACTTTTAACACTCACCAAGTAGATGCCAGGTTTTTCTGCGACCATAGCGGGTGCAGAAAGCCAAATCATCAGTACGGTCAGCTTCACGACCAACAAATGGTGTGGATAGTGCATCAGCTACCTGTTAAATGTATATTAAATTAAATGTACAGTTTACTGTATTTTATAAAATAATTTCTCTTAGATTTTAAAATTGACATGTTAAACTAGTTTAGTTGCTACAAAATTAAAAAAAAAATATGAAAACTTACAAGAAGCAAGTAATTGATGGTGAGTAACACTGTAGGTGAAATTTTTTAAAAGGGTTCATTTGCAAACCGTATAACTTAAGTTACATTTTTGCCACTATATCTTTATTTAGTTTGTCAAGAGTACTGTATCTATATCAAGATATTGAATAAAATAACAATTTGGAGAGAATTTGCCATAACACTGGGGGTACATGAGGATATCACATTCACAAAGAAAGTGTAGCAAAAGTAGCATTCTAGTTTACTAACCTGACCAATTAGGAGAACAAGTCCTGATAGTGTGTTGTTGAAAAGAAGTACATGGTGGAAGTAGATGAGTAGGTATGTGAACCACATGGCAGAGCAGAGATCATTGAGGACATGGCCAACACCATAGCCAAACCTGATGCGCACACTGAGACCTGCCATTCTGTTTGTGCGCTTTCAGGAAGACACAATTGTGCAATATGGACTAGATTGGGGGATGAATTATTGATGAACAACCGAGAGATGTGACAGTAGAAATAACTAAGAGTGTGGGATGATGGAAGTCACTTTATAAAACCAGTGAGGTTTAAGTAAATTCTTACGACTTAAAAATGAGCCAACAACAGTGAGTTGTGGATGCAAATGCACTATAATAAGAGGTAGGAATAAATCAGTCACAAATTACAGTACTGTATTGTAAACTGAATAAGCTCCAAGATATTGTAAACACCAAATTGATACCGTGTAATATATTACTTAGGGATCGTCTTTCAACTAAAAACAGATGGCTGGGCACTATGAAGATAATTACAGTACTGTATTACAAACAAAAACAATGAAATATTGGTAATTGTTCTTCACTAAGAATCTGCTAAAATTTTTATAGTCGTATTTATAAAAAGATAAAATAATATTCGACCAGCAATAGAGCCTGCTGCACGGAAAGTAGAGGGCAAGGTACGGTAAGGGTAGGTGGTGCTGTGGCTTGGGTGATGTCAATATACTGGTCATCTGAAAAGAGAAAAGGTTTATGGCATTGTTTACTGTATACTGTAATACAAACACTGACACTAGAAAACATTTTATTTTACTACCTTTCTGTTCTTAAACTTATTGAACACACTCATACAATTGACAAAAACTGAGAATACAGTACTGTAATTAGTTTTTGTGGTATCCAGTAGTAGAAACATCACAAGGAAAACATTTCTTTCAGCAACCTTGTTATGACTTCCTGCACAAACATACATAAAAATACAATCTATTTCTATGTAAATGTTTCTCCGGTGTACTTTTACCAGTTTTATGTGAAAACTCAAAAGAAAAGTACAATACTGTATCCAATGAATGTGATTTCAGGAAAAATCATGCTTCCCCTGTTAAAGCCTCAGCTCACCATCCCATGCTTTCAAAGACAGACAGTGAGGTGACAGAGCACTAACTTTGTTGCTAACACCACCTAAAACATTTTAATTATGTTTTATGTATGGACTTAACAATAAGAATTATTATATACACTGCCTTCATTTAGTAAGACCCAGTTCCCAAGAGAAAGGAGGTACTCTTATAATGCAAATACCTAATTACAGCCTGTTGTGATGTTATATAATATATGTACTGTACAGGTATCCGTCATTTAGCGATCGTTTACTTAGCAATATTTCGGTTCATCGCTTTAAAATATTTAACACTACTTGTTGCTTAATTATCTGCAATTTTCAGTTTAGCAATATTTGACTCAATGGGAAAAATTCAGGAGGGAAGTCAGAACACTGCGGATTCTGTGCTCCTAAGTGCACATCATTACAATACTGTACATGTACTGTAATGTGGCTTAGAAATAAAGAAAATACTGTACTATATGTACTGTATAATTATACAGTACAGTACAGTATTTAATAATTTTATACAGATACAGTACGATAAAACTATAAAATGAAGTGAAGGTCTGTACTTTTTTCTATAGGGAAGCCCACCCGGGAACAGGTCATCGCCCCACAATGAGACCTAGGGGGGAATAAGAGTATAAAGAGAAGAGAAAAAGACTATATTAATCTACACCACGCAAATGCCAGAAAACCAGCTTTTTGAAGCGACTCGCCAGCTGCACTCTCCCTCCCCCTATGTGACGTCGTGGCATACAGGCAGCAGCCACACTCATCTCTTGAGTCAGCTTGGTGACTGCCCAGATGAACTGTGTTGTGTGTATACCACCCGCATCAGTTAATGTGAGGAATAAAAATAAATATAATAAAAGAAAAAATACTACATTGGCATTTGGTAATAATTTCATGAAACAAAGAACAGCCGAAATATCCCTTATGCCACTCCTCGCTCCCCCTCCCCTGCTCTGTGGGCTAACTGCTGACCACGTAAAAACTGCTTAATCCGTTTATGTTTTTGACTTTATATGCCTTTTTTATGCACATTCTTTATGAACAATTGAGTGTGCATGTAACAGATTAAAAGAAAATGAAGAAAATTACATATACAGGTACTCCCCGACTTACGACGGGGTTAGGGACCGACATCCAGGTCGTAAGTCGAAATGGTCGTAAGTCGGAAATGCTTAAATAACACATAGAAAATCGAAAATCTGGGCCTCTTTCTTCTCAACACCACAAAACACTCACTTTTAAGCTTGCCAGCCATTTTAAAGTGAATTACAGATGAAAATTTTGTCTGTGTACCGACTTTGCGACTCAAAATTACATAATTAGACCACATTTTGGTACGACTTGAGGCAGGTCGTAAGTGCGGGTGGGCGTAAGTCGAGTCGGTCGTAAGTCGGGGAGTACCTGTACTGTACCTACCCAAAATTACAAATTAAACAATAACACAGCTCACAGCTCAGCCTCACCCACTCTGAGTGCTACTGGGTGTCAAGTCGGCGACTCGGCTACACAATTACGTGTCATTTCCATGCATATTATAACTCTTTATCCCTTGTTTAGGATATTATTTCATATTTCTGTTTGCTTATCGATCATTTCACTTAGCGATCTGTTTTACAGGAACACATCACAATTGCTAAAAGATGGATACCTGTATAATACAGTGATAGCTCAGTTGGCCGCAATAATTGGTGCAGAGCACTTACGGGAATGAGAGATTTCCGAGTAACGAGACAACTCTCTCAAAGCCAAAAAAAATCCCTCATCCCCGGAATTTTCCGGGTAACGGAAAAATGTTCTCGTAAGTTCCAGAAAGTGTGCATTACATCATCTCTCAAACTCAGAAAAATATCCCTCATCCCCAGCATTTTCCGGGTACAGGAAGAAATTTCTTGAAATTTCTGGAAAATGCACCTGATTTTCATCTCTCAAACCTGTAAAGAAAATCAACCAACCCGGAATTTTCCGGGTACTGCACTGGGAAAGTTTTCTTGAAATATTCTAGAAAATGTGCCACTCGGAAAATCATTCCCAAAGCCGGAATTTTCCGGAAAATTACGGTTTTGGGGACAATTTTCTAAGAAAATTTCAATTCCAGCTGTATTGGAGAGTTCCAGTTAAGAGGGATTCCGGCTAACGGATATAGTTAACAACCATTCAGCGATTCCTCCCACTAAAAATACGCGGATAATGGCCGCTTATGGAGAATATTTTGATTAATATTGAATAGTTGGGGCCATGTAAGGCAATAAAAAACTGATATAATAATAAAAAGAATTATATATATTGATAGTATATTAGATAGGACCTAAAACAGAGTATAATCCGTGAAAAAATTTAAAAGAATTGCCCCTAGTTGAAACCAGTTTTGGTTCCGCCCATTTTTAAGTGGGTGCTGTCTGATTTCATTAGCCGTTGGCGACTTTGGTTTAACAATATTGATAATTACTGAAATATGATTAAACCTGAATATCATTACTGTACTCATAAGATACTTATAAATAGGGGTGAAACGTTTATTACAGTTCTGTAAGTGCAAAAATTAAGACATAACGAACCTGAAATTCGTCATATTGCATGTATATTATAGGTGGACACTTGTAAACAACACTATGTAGCCGCAAGACAAGAGAATGTACAGTACGTAGTGGAGCACCTTTCCTGTATCAAAAATGGATCAAGCCGCCATGGTTATTGTTGACTGATTGACTTTTTTCCTTTCTTTCCATATTTTTCTATACTGTATACCGGTATTTTCTTCACTACATGTATTTCTTTCCGTATTGTGTTCATTTTTTAACAGTTCAAATTTTATTGTTTTCTGAAGAGTGTGTTGTACAACAGTTATTTCCAAGACGCGGTACAAATGTTGTATTTTTTAATGACAGTCCGGGAGAGCAAATGTGTTAGCTATTCCGTGCATCTTAAAACGCCTTACAAAAAACGCCTCAAATGTAATGAAAAACTCACTACATAATTTAATAATAAGTTTATTGAATAAAAACAATTATATTTTACAGTTTAAAAGGTAATTAAAATTACACACGAGTTTCACACGACTTCATGCATCAGACTCAGAAGGCCACCGGCGGTAATGCCACTCAGACCAGCAACAACAGGCAGACCAAGACCAGCAACAACAGGTAGACCAAGACCAGCAACAACAGGCAGACCAAGACCAGCAACAACAGGCAGACCAAGACCAGCAACAACACGCAGACCAAGACCAGCAACAACAGGCAGACCAAGACCAGCAACAACAGGCAGACCAAGACCAGCAACAACAGGCAGACCAAGACCAGCAACAACAGGCAGACCAAGACCAGCAACAACAGGCAGACCAAGACCAGCAACAACAGGCAGACCAGCAATGACTCAAGACGAGCCGGGACACGCGTACAAGCAACACAATTCATAAAAAGATGAGGCATCTCAACCTCAGGCGAGGAAACCTACAATCCACTAGATGTTATAGCATCTTCTAACAACTAATCAGTACATCAACTCAGTTTTATTAAATATGTGTAACCCAATACAATCATCATGATGTAATCTACTAAAGATACTGTACCTACACATCCAAGGAATCTCCAAAATGAACATGTCAAGCTAAGAAACCCCCTTTTACTTATTATATCATACAGTTTATTTAGGCTATCAAACTTGACTATGTTAATTCAGGTGCCAATATGCATGGACAATTGAGTCGGGATAATGTTTTGGTCTAGGATTATAACATGTAACGAAGTGCCAGGACCATTTAGTGACACGGTGAAATTTTACAATCCTTTGTGTAACACTTATACCTGGATGTTTGGGTTATTCACAGTGCACATGCTGCACCATTTATTTTAACTAAACAGTAATTTTAAACAATTTGTTCCAGTATTTGATAGTGTAGCCATAGTATATATTAGCTGCTAGCCTGCAACGGAGTTGGATCTCGTATTTCTACTAATACTTATTACCACGGAATAAGCAGCCCTACTACCAACGTGTATGCGTAAATCCCTACTGAATTCCAAATTTCCGACAACACTAGTCATCTACAATTAAAAAATAAGAGATTCATCTCAGCCTGTCAAACTTTCCACAAATTAATTAAAGATAAAGAGTATGAATGCCAGGTGTCAAGGACTGAAGGACATGGCAAACAGGTGCGGTCTCGTTAAATTGGGACCATAAATTGTGGTCAAGGGATTAATGCAGTTACTTTCCTTGTGTCAGGTTAGGTCAATCCAGAGGGCTTACCCCGATGACACATTTTGCAAAAGAAGTTCCACACTCCTACCTTTGAACTGTTCTCAGCTCAGCTTACTCTACTTCCAATGGATTCAGACAGAAAATGGCAGCAAATTTCAATCAAAGATTCCCTGAGTTGCTCACCGAGTCTCCTGATTTTTTTCAGTTTCCGTTCAAGACAGATGTAAAACAGTGTGGCTTTCTTGCGTTCGAAATGACAGAATCACAGGCTTACAACGAGGCAATTGTGAATTTTGACTTTTATGATGACATGGCAAAAAGTTTTATTACTTTATCAGAGACATTCAGCAGATAAAAATAAAACTCTCAGAGTTCTGGTAAAAAATGGAAGCACCTATATCTGTGAGGTAGCTT